AGTTGTAGTGGTAGTTGTAGCTGTAGCGTTGTGTAATTGTAATTGTAGTTGAAGTTGTAGCTGTTTTAGTGGAAGTGTCGTTGAAATTGTAGTTGTAGCTGTAGTGTAGTTGCAGTTGTCTATCTATCTGTCTATCTATATATCTGTTCTGTTTATCTATCTGTCTATCAGCAAGCTCTGCCATCCATGCATCACAACAACTCACCTCTCCTATAGTTTCCTATCTGTGAAACTTCCGCCAGCGCCTTGTGCGGTACTACGGGTACGCAACTGAGTTTTAAGGGTACACACCATTTTTGGACAGGCAAGCGTAAGTGGTCAGGCAGAACCAAAGAACCAACAGCTCAGCCATCCCGCAATATATTACCAGACAAAAAATGAACACCAAGTCAATGGCACAACCTGGCCGCAAACTCAGTGGAAGTGGAGAGAAGCAAACGCAGTTTCAAGGCTTTCAACAGCGAACTGCTGGGGACTGTCTCTCTGTCTCTCTGTCTCCCTGTCTCTCTGTCTCTCTGTCTCTCTCTCTCTATGTCTCTCTGTCTCTCTCTCTCTCTCTCTGTCTCTGTCTCTCTCTCTCTCTCTCACTCATGCGCTTCGCTAGAGGATTTGCTCTTTTCAAAGGCAGGCGGCGGCAGCAGTGCGGGGAGGAGGGGACGCAGACCGAAATTTGACGAATCGCTCATTGCGCAAGCAAGCCTGATTTCATATTCGGCGTAAAACTTACCTGCAGATGAGAATATCACATGGCCTGCTTGCAGCTTTTGCTTGCCTTCAAGACTTTCTGCTTAGGAGCTGCAGCAGGAGCATGAGTCGAAGCAGAAAATAGGCAGGCCACCTCAATCTGTTCACTGTTGTTGGGGCGGCAGATGCGCAACAGCATGTGCCAGCTTTCCTTTTGCAGAAGGCGGTCTCATCACATCCAAAAACTTGGGAACAACCTGTTGGTGCTGAGTGTTCACTTGGCCTTTTATGTCTTCGGGGAAAACCTTGATGAGAAGGGTTGAGTTCTGCCCGTGGCGTATCTGAGCTTTCTGCAGGAATTTTGAGAATTTTGAAATCAAACACTTTATTGTGTGGCCCTAAGGATGATTAGTCAATCGCAGGGAGTGTCGTGTTTGTTGTGCCCCAGAACCCTTGTCAAGCTGCGTGTGCACCGATTGCTGCAAGCATAGGTTCCTACCAGCGGTCAACGGAAGTTGAGATTAGAAACTTTCCACAATTACAAATATCAATGCGGTAATTTTCAGCTCACCAACTTAACCATGTAGTGTGGTGAACACAGCAGTTATCAGATCACGGTGATTGCCAATAAAAGTGCGAAGCACCAGTTACGGCTCTTGGGCTGCCCACCTTTGTGCGCCACAGGTGCCGCTCGCTGCGCTGCTGCCTGATCTGCCTGATCTGCCTCCCGTGAGCTGAAAAGGGGCGGTTCTGACTCAGTATGGTTCCAATCTAACTGTCGAACCCGAAGAAAGAAAAGAACCCGGACCCCAAAACGGAAATACAGTATTTATACAATATTTAACCAGCCTGTCCAGGGGAAATTGGATATTTAAGGGAAAGGATTATATAATATTCCACAGGCAGCCCCCTTGTGGGTCATGACTCAATTGTGGTTGTTGCAGCAATGGTGTTGAACGTACGATACTGTACAGTCAATGTTTCATGTGCCAATATGTGCCACTAACATTTGCATGTTTTTTTGCGCCGAAAGATCTTGCAGCAACCTGTTAAGGTTCATGTGTGGTATGGGTATGCCCCCTTAAATTGCATTTGCATAGGGAAAATGGTGACAAACCATCGGAAATTCGCCAGTTCCTTAGTTTTTCAGAAAAAAAACAATTTTGTCTAGTGAATTGCAAGGTTTCGTGTGTTCAAATTGCACTGGTTTGATGACCAGCATACGTTTTTGCCTTGGTCTCTTCGAAATCCGTGTTGGTCTCAATTTGCTCGAATTTTGTTTTCAATTTTCAACCACATGATTATCATGATTTCCGGTCGTGACGTTGTTGTTGACATGTTTGGTACGAAGGACCAAAAACAATAAGTGGGAACCAGTTTTTTTCTGTCAGTCGGTGCTGGAACCCAATAATATTCAAGTTACAAAGTTGTGATTTGACCCTATAATTATTTGTTTTGATGGATCCCAATTGAATTTTTTGTGGTTTTGCCCAAAGACAGGACCCAAAAAACCTGTAATTCATCATTTGTTTATTTCTCCGCCTGAGAACTCAGAGATGTACAGTACCCATGATAAACCATGTGGTTTGGTGCTACATGTCTTGTAGCCGAAACCATCTATGGCCGGTCAGGTTTTAAAAAAAATGGTCGCAGCATAGGCCATTCAAAAGTGCCTAGGTGTTTCCCTCTGGGTGGTGTCGACCCTGCCTTCATTAATTTGTTGTCGGTGCTGTGGTGTTTGTTTTTCACCATTGTCCCACAACACAACGATGGCCGGTTTCAATCACCCCGCGCGGATTGCTGCAGTCCGGATGGCGTCGCCAAAGGCATCCAAGCGCGAAAGCCTAATGAATCTCTTGATCTGGTTGGTGGGTTCAAGTAACTCACTGTTTTTATTGGTGATTGATCGGATCATGATCAAAATTCGGCTTTTGTTGGGATGTGTTGAGATTGAAACCGCAATGAATTACGGATGTTTTTTTCGGTGTTGGTTTTTTGTTGGTTTCCTTTGTTCTTTTTGTGTGTGTGTGAATGGGGTCGGTGGTAGTATGTTGTAGTTTTTTGTTGTGGTTGCAATATTGCAGGTGACAATCAAGGCTGTTGAGGATGGTTCCATGGCTATCAGCCATCATTGAGGATTGGTTTAAAATTTGGGGGTTCACCAAGTAGTTCAGTAGTTGTTGCCACGGAGATGTGATTTCAGTGACTACCAAACTAAGATCATGAATGATCATTGGTTGATTTTCATCCCAACTCATCATTTGCGACGAAAAAGATATCGATGATCAACGGCCCAGGGGTGAATAAGAATCCGGGCTTGGCATTGATGGCGTTGCTTTTTTCGGCAAGTTTTGGTGATTTTTTACCGTTGACCATTGAATGTCAGACTGCCCATGGCATCCCCTAAGGCTCAAACACGGCTCTGCCCTTCGAAGTGCTGTGAAACATTTCGGTTCGGGTCCGGTAATTTTTCGCCTTAAACCAACGGAACATGAGGGGCCGGAGAGTTATCTAACTCACAACGGTGTCCGGGTGTGCAACTTCAACTCAGGATGCATGGCAGGACCAATGGTTCGTTTCATCAACCTCGTTGAGCTTTATAATCAATTCAATTAATAATCAAGTCTAATCACCATAAAACATCCCATTAATTAAACTTAATTAAGTGATGAATCACAACTCATAACTTGTGACTAATCACATTAAACATCATTATAATCAATCACCAGTTACTCTTGTTATGTTTACATATGCTTACCAAGTGACAGCTCGGCCAAGGGCGTCAACGTTGAGCCCCAAATCCGCAGTGGTGGATTCGGAGGAGGCGTTTTTCTACGCGGACAGGGGATTCATCCATGGTTCCATGGGAGAGAGCATGATGGATTTGCTTGATACATGATGATACATGGGAATTGAATGGAATTTGATGGAACTTGGCGACTATCTATCTCCATGTATTTTTGGGTTATATGACATTGAAGTTTGAAAGTGGGATATATCTCCAATTCCAACGAATGATCACGATTTTTGCAGATGAAAAACGTTGATAAAATTGCGGTATTTGGGGGTATATCCCACTCTCAACATTAAACATAGGAACCAATACTGTAACAGGTGTGGATTCATTTATAATTATGACCAACCAAAACGGTGGTGGATGATGCTGAAAGACCAGCAATAATGGGAAAAGGAAGCTAGATGAAGCAAGCAGAAGCAGTGAGAACCATGATGTATGGAAATGAATCACTGGCAAAATCCGGAATATAACTGAACCAAATAAAATCAAGTCAGCAGGGAAATTTGTCAACAACCTCCAACCAGATGTAGCATGGAATCCCCCATAGGGTCCAAAGATGTCCTGGAATCCAAATCGGAATATGGCCCTGCCATGCGCCAATCCTTCTAGAGGTGCCAATTGAAATTGTCAGGGATGTCACTTGACTTAGTGTTGACCCCGTTTACCAATTTGTGGTTTCCGAAAGTGGTTTTCGGCGCTCCATTTTTCGCAGGCCCAGGCACTTTTGACCATCCCATCCCACTAATTTTGAAAAACACCCCAGACTCCAAAATGCACTCAAACCAGGTCCCAGGTGGTCTCGTATTGGGGTATAACTTCTAGGAAAAGGGATTACCCTCTGGTAAACTATAACAGTTTGCAAACTGGAAAATCACCATCAAAATAGTAGGTAAATCATGGTAAATCAACTATTTCTATGGGCCATGGCGTAAATAGTCGCGAAGTTCAAAATCGAGTCGTTTCCAGAGGGGACCAGAAATGACCTTTTTCGCAGCCTTGCCAGATTCGATTGGCCATGATCCAAAGTTCCTTAGATCTCTGGTTCGCGAGCCAAGGGCACCAGGAGATCCAGGAGATCCACCATGGCCACCATGGCCACCATGGGAAATGATTCGAAGAGCCTTCAACAATATGACATGGAAATACAATGGATATTTTTCATGAAATCGTGGGTTGAACCAGTAAGTTGAATCTCAACAATAAAAAAGACAATAATGTTTACTTGTTTTCTGTTTTGAATGGGTGTTGGAAGGGTCTTTCACATGTTCATCTCAATGAATTCAGTACGATACGTAACCCAAGTCGTGGGTACTGTACTTCAAACGCCATCAAAAGATCGAACAATGTATGTTTACATTATACGTATGCATACTACATGGTGCATATATGTTATTTAGTTTATTTATTTTGTATGATATATATGTAAATCGTGCACATGCTTTATTTATGTTGCGTATATTTACTCATACATATGCATATATATAAATATAGAATGTTTAAAATAGGTTTCATATGTTCAATGTTTGTTTTATCTTTTGGCTAATTCGTTTGTTTCGTCCCGCCTTCGTTTTTTTTGGCAGCCATGATGCGCATGGTTGTTTTGAACGCGGCTTTGGCGCTGGTGGCTCATACCTCAGCACTTCTCCAGCTGCTCACTCCCTGGGACCCTCATCAGCTGCAGGCTAGACAGGACGCAGCATTTTTGAAGTTGTTGTTTACAAAGGTGGTTCTTTTGACTAAAGCTTTAAAGTGAGTTCAAGAAACGTTTGGGTGTTTTTGTTGTAGCGCCAACCCTGCTTTAGGTTGCCCTTGGCAGACGATTCCGGCTGCCGCAACCATTTCGTTTTATAGCCGAACTTGGTTTTCTCCAAGTTCCGGCTGCAGCTGTGCCTTGGCATTTTTGGTCAAGCTTTCTCCTTTTGGCTTTTCGGCTTTTCGGTAGTTTTTGGTTTTTCGGGAGGGTTTTGATTTTTTATCCCTATGGAAAGATCGTGATAATAAGACATAGTTATGCGTATTTGTTGGTGACGAACATGTTTCTATGCGCGGGAGATGGTTGCACTTCTTGTTGTATGTACAAATATAGGTGGTTTTTTTAAAATTTGCTTGCTGCTTCCAAGGTAAGGGTGCGAGGCTGGTACGGCGCAGCCTGGGAGGAGTTTTGTGCAAATTGGAGCCGGTTGCACCCGGCAGCCGTACTCGGTGCCTTTGGCGGTGGCGGCGAAGCCTTGGCACGGGCCAATTTGCACAGCCTGGAACGACGCCAGCTGCAGTGGCCCCCGCGTAGGGCTGGCGTCACGCGTCAGCGGCAAGTCTTACGTGGGGCACTTCAAACGACGATGGGGGACTTTTGGGTGGAGCTCAGTTACACACGTGAGGTGCAACTCATAGTGTAACTGAGTTCCTTGCATGCTATCCCCCATAAGAGGGGATTTTTAAGATCGGTGGAGAACAACCCCCCCCCATAAGCGGGGCAGTTTTCCATTACTCGGCGTCCGACGCCTTTGAAAAACAGTGCTGGAGTGCGAAGGGCCTCGGGTGTAGGACGGAGTGGGGACAGGTGTTAACGGTTGACTTGTGTTTCTCACTTGTAAGTTTAGGGAACAACAACTTTGGACCACCGGTTAAGGACAAAGGTTTTGTTCTTCTAAGTCTATGTTTCACGAACAGGGTTGAAGACAGGGTCGTTTTAAGTTTTCCACCAAAGGGGACGTTGGTAGAGAGAGGGTGTTACCAAGTTGTTTGCAGAAAGGGGTACCAAGGCAGAGTTTATTTAGTCGTTTGTGGTTTCAAACGTGTAATAAGACCGAAGAGCTTGGAAGATATTTTAGAGGATTTTTCATTGATCAACTTCCTAAATTTTGTTGTTCGGGTACTTTGTCACCGTGTTTTCAGGTAACAATGAACAATCCTCTGACCGTTTTTTCAATTGTTTCGCAAGTTTTTTTCGAAAAGGATGTCTCACCGAGGGGCAAAAGGGTCGAAAGAGGTCAAAGGGTTCACAAGGGCCTAACAAACGGTTAAGCGGGTTAAAGGGGTCGAAGGGGTCAAAGAGTTAGTCTGTTTCAAGTTTCAAGTAGTTTCTGCTGATAAGGAATTTTCCCTTGAATGGTATTCAGTCGTTGTGTCAGAAGAACAATGTTCGGTGCTGACTTTCCTGTTTGGCAAACATGCTTGTCGTTCAATGATAAGTTTTGAAGCAGCAAGTTGTTGCCAATTCTGTTTGGTGCAAAGTTCAGCCCAAAGAATTTTTAATTTAAGGGTGTCAACTTTTCCATCCATGGCACCGGCATAGTAAGACCGGATTCTTTGCAACCCATCGGCTGTGCCACTTCTTCATCTGTGGCTTGTCAACTTTTATATGTCTTGGAAGTGTTGAAAAATTCTTGATGTCTTCAAATTGCTTTTTTTGGGCAGGCTGCTCTGCTGAAGAAAAATCACGTATGGCTTGGCTGTCGGGTCATAGAAGTGCGTGTGTGTGTGTGTATGTGTATGTGTTTAAGTTTGTATTTGATCAAAAATCAATAAAACACTTATGCTTTGAAGATGTTTATTTGCCGGGTTCTTTGCTGTGCTTTGCCACCTTTGTCACCTTGGGTAACGGGGTCAATGCACAGCTGCTGCTATGGAGGAGGGTGGCAATGCGTAAATCAAAAAACAAAGAAGACGTGGAAAACATGGAATTGGCATCGAAAATATTGCACATGACTATACCAAAAACATTAATCATCTAAATTCTTGAAGGTGTTTGTGCTTTCTAATGCAAGATCTTTTCCAAAAAAGTGATCAGAAATTGCACATGTATGATTTTTCAAACCTGTTTTCCAGAACTCTTCTCACTATTCAGCACGGCAGTCAACGTTTCTTTTGAACAAAGATGTCAAATTCAATTTTTAATTTCATCAGCCAGGCAGAGAGAAATATAAAGCATTTCCAATTTTGGACTTATTTATAAATATATGTATATATCGTGCAGTACATTTATTTGCTATATGTTTGATATGATATGTTTTGCCAGTTTTTACATGCAACATCGTATTTGATATATTGTATTTGTAGCATATGCTATTTGGTGTGCATATAAACACATGTGTATATATATAGGGTATTATTTTGATATTATATATCATCTGGTTTGTTGCATGTTCTGTGTTGTTGCTGCTGTTGTATGTACATGTTTTTACAGGGTAGGCATATGCATAATTGAATGCGTGGTGGTGTATAGTTTTTGAATTCATTATATACGTATATGTTACATTTATATGGTGTGAATGTGTTTCATATAGGTTGTAGTTCATTTTGTATCGTATGATTTCATGTCATATTGAATATTGTATGACCACGTGATCACGTCTCATTTTTTGCTATAAAAATAATTCTCATGTTTACACATTTAATTTGGTTAATATTGTGCGTTAAGAGCTATATAATATCATTTTCAAATTATCATTAGATATATATTTATTTATTTATTTACATATAAATATACATATGTGTATCATGTTCACTACATATTATGTGTTTCCCGGTATGTCTGACTCATGTTTTCGTATGTCCTTTTTCTTTTTTCAATATACATATGTTTCAAATAGTTTTCTGTCATGATATTATCAAATATACATATCTATATATATATGTCATATGTTGTGTATTCATTCTATATGTTATTTGGTATTTAATATATTAATTAGCATTTCAAATAGTGTTTATGTTTCATACAATGTATACAGTGTAATCGTTTAATTCATAATAGTATGATATAGGATTCAATATGCAATTTTATTTATATACAATTGCCTCATTTATCGTGCAATATCATTGTTTTGGGTTGTATTATATATATATTACTTCTGTTTTGCTAAATATCATTTGCTGTCCCCGCAGGAGGGTTCAGCCCCATTGTCATCATGTTTATAGGATACCCAGGGCAAGAAGCATCGAGCTGGCATACGTGAAAATTCTCCAAGAAACCATGTACTTCATTGCAAATTTGCAAAGTTACAAGGGGATTGCAATCAATACATGATTTGTTGTTGCCTAAAAACTTGCGCCAAAATCATTCTTTTGGTGACATCAAACCGGCTTTTGTTGGATCACTTGATGATTTGGACTCGACTCAGTCTGACTCTCCGGTGATTTCTTTGGTTCTTAGGCAGCACAACATGGTGAGCTCCAAGATGGCCTCCACTTGGGCCGGCATCCCCGGTCTCCGGTCTCCGGTCTCCTGGTTCCATGTTGAGCAATCTATGGTGTATCAGACAGTTGATTTACACATACATATCATATATATATATATACACATGGATGTACATTAATATGGACATACATATCTACGTATTAAAACTCGATGCTTCGATTGATAAAAAAAAAACAGAATTGCTTAAGCATCCAGCCTGTGGGAGACGGCCTGGAGTCCATCATTTTGGTTGTCCAAAGGTTTCTTTGACGGAGTCATGTCACCAACTGGGTGAAGGAACCATAAAGAACTGGTGGTTTTCCTCCGCCATTTTTGTTCATTGATGTTTATTGGTTCTGTGGACAATCTAGAACACCATCACGGACCATTTGGGATTTTCTTTGTGTAGGGCAGTGTCGGGGTTTAACTTTGAGACCCAAGGGAACACAGGTTTTTAGTCCTATACATCCTTATTTCGCGTATTTATCATCCCTTGGGTAGTCTCATTTTGACCCAATGTAGAGAATATCTCAGAAGCTGGAATGTAGAGAATATATGAGAATATTGACTACCACAAGTGCTGCACACATCGATATTTCATGATATTTCTCTTTGGAACAGAGGGATTTTTTTGGGGTTCCGCCGCCAGCGCATTGCCAGGGACGGAAACGGATCTTAGCACCTTTGCTGGATGTAATGGTGTGGAGCCCTGGAACTCCATCGCCATGTTTATAAAGAAATCATGTGGATAAAACATGATAAAACAATGCCATTTGTACCACCCATGACTAGGAATGGTAAGTTTATACCATCTTTAAAGATGGTGATGACTGGGGGATGGTTTATGACATTGTTTTACCCACATTATAGGGGTTTATACAACTAGATGTAGAAGGTGTAGATATCCACCAGACGCACAAGTTGAATCGTTTATTTTTTGGCCATGGCCCATTTTTTTTGCTAACCAACCATGTGCAATATCCAGATCCACGGAAATGAATATGTGGAGTCCAGAAATAGGCTGCCCCTGGGCTTTTATGGCAAGATAAACCAGGGTTCCCATCTGTGATAAACCCATGGATTTCGTGGCACCAAAACACGTCAGTTCGGGTGAGCCTCAAAAAATTGCGGGACTTACCCCCTGACCCCCAGGTACCCTCTGGTAAACATACAAAAAGCGATGGAAAATCACCATCTTTAAGTTCGGTAAATCAACTATAAATGTGCAATTTTCCAGCTATGTAACAAATTACCAGAGGGGAAATCATAGCCACAAGGCGTGGAAATTCGGTTTTTTCACCTCTTTGGACCGATTGCTGATGGGTTTCGACCACTTTCTATGGCCTAGCAAGCCTGTTGATGATGTTCCCATGGCTGCCAATGTATGATACCTATGGGGAAATTTTGCCATTGCTATGTTTGATTGCCCAAGAGTAATGGTCTTGCCTGCATTTTCATAAACACTGCCTATTGATTACAGAAATTCAAAAAAAGTTTAAGCTGTCAAGCTGAGGAAAAAACGGATTGGTTGAAGAATTTGGAAGTTCAAACACCATGGTTTCCCAGTAACTATCTCTGCCTAACAAACCAATCCACTGAATTTTGTGATGTTGCAAGATTTTGCCATGTGTTTGCTTCTTAAGACCATGTTTATTCATGTTGTTTCTGGTCAAACCCATTTTTTTTGAAAGACCACAATGTTTTGAGTGCGATCAAAAACATCCACGCCGGTGTATCTCGCCTCAGGAACTCATAGGGGTGGATGTGCCAGATGGCATTGAGGTTGGGATGGAAAAATTGAGAGTTGAGGCGTAGAAAATGGATAAGACTTGGATGTTTGTTCAACATGGAAAATTGTACCTGGGGTCTAAAGATAATATGCTTTCAACATGGAAAAACATAGAATATTCATCTGGTTGGTGGTTTGGAACATTTTTTTCCATATATTGGGAATAGTAATCCCAATTGACTTTCATATTTTTCAGAGGGGTAGGCTCAACCACCAACCAGTCATGTGGTTTTTAAAGATGGAAGATCTGTTTGAATGTGAAGATTCGACCATTGGGATACTCATCTCGTGGATCGCCATGTAAAAAATTGGATTTTGGGGCAGACCTTGCTGTATAGAGATACAAACTTTTTTGGCATGAAAGTAGATCATTTACAAGGGAAATCCATCAATTTCCATTATTTCCTTGGCTATACTATAATATAATATAAAAAACATAAAATAATATAAATATATATATATAATAAAATAATATAATATAATGTGTATATATATATATCATGTTAGTTTATTATAATTGGATGGTACTCATTCCTACCTTCAACTAGAAATGTCTTGTCCCTGTCCGGTCCCTCTTTCGCCCTCTGCCACGCCAGACTTTATTGCGAATGGAGGAAGAAGAGGCCGCGGGCGAGGTCGAAAGTCCATTGAAAAAGATCGCCATGAAGTTCTACAAAATGAAAATGTTGATGGTTTACAGATGTTTACAGCAACTCCCCAAAAACCAGAGAGTTTTTGGTCAATTTCGACTAAAAGAGTGTCAAATGACCTTTCTATCTGGGGATTAATGTTCCATATGCTCGAAGAAGCCATGGTGGGGCAAAAATTGGGGATGTAATGGTTTGACAGAATGCGAATATCATGGAATATAGATTGTAGCGGGATACAACTAACAGTATGATTAATATGACATACTATAGCGATATGTAGTGTTATGATGTATTGTGAGATATCCATAGATATCATGCATGTGGGATGCTCATGGGAACCATCTTATGGTACTGTATATGGAAGATGTATCTAGTTTCATAACGGAATTGGCCAAGAAACACGGGGCAGTACGGCGCTACGAATTCATGAAGCCAGGATGTGGTCTACTACATCTCGGAGCATATGCCCTTGAGCTTGATGGACTGTGAGTTGCCTAAGCACCGGTGCGTCCCCAGAATTTGTAAAAGGTGTGAAAATTGGATCATGTCGAAAGAGTTGATCGTTTCTGGTTTCAAATATCTTCACTGTTTTCTATAGTGCCATATTTGAGAGGGAGACCATGTCGAAGTGATTCGAAGTGTCTATTCTTATCATCCTTGTTTATACCGTTTGCAGAATCTGTAGAATTGGATGGATAACCTTTGAATAGCATTCTTCAAACTGGAGAGCTTCTAGATAGCCCCTAAGGAAATAAACCATGACTTTGGGTGTGTTGTTTAGATGAGTCCCAGTGCCTAAGATTACACAAAGACCCCGAGGTTTGCCCAAGCCTAGAATGGCGTAAATATCAGGGAATTCTGTACGACGTCAAACAGCGGAAATTTATGTTCAATTATGTTGCTAGGGTGTTAACCAGAACATGTTGCTCCTACGTATCATACAACCAGAACATGTTGCTTCTACATATCATATGGAATTAACCATACAGTCATTAGGCTTTCTTATAGGGTTTCAAGAAGATATCAAAAACCCCCGGCCCCATGGAACAATGAACCATACAGTCATTAGGGCTTCTTATAGGGTTTCAAGAAGATATCAAAATCCCCCGGCCCCATGGAACAATAAACCATACAGTCATTAGGGTTTCTTATGGGGTTTCAAGAAGATATCAAAATCCCCCGGCCCCATGGAACAATAAACCATACAGTCATTAGGGCTTCTTATAGGGTTTCAAGAAGATATCAAAATCCCCCGGCCCCATGGAACAATAAACCATACAGTCATTAGGGTTTCTTATAGGGTTTCAAGAAGATATCAAAATCGTCATCCTCATCGTCGTCGTCGTCCTCGTCGTCGTCCTCGTCGTCATCGTCATCGTCATCTTCATCTTCATCTTGGCTTGCCCAGACGCACGTTGCGAGTCCGGGCAAACCTCAGGGTCTTGCCGTAAGATTAGCAAACCATTGACGGGGTTTGGGTGTTCCCACATACCAACCCCAAAAAGGATTCACTGAATAAGTATCCAAACATATCCAAACATAATTTAAAAAAATGCATTAGTCTGCATTAGTCCTGCAATTTCATTTGATGTTTGGGTTTTTTTGCATCACGTTATACCTACCCTCCGGTAACAGTTAAGCCATGGCCCACAACAGTTCGGTGATCTGCAGGAGAGCTTTGAAGATATCATCTTCGAAGTGCAGCAGGCGCAAGTTCATTTCACTGGCTCATTGGGGAAAGTTCCAGGAATTTCGCTGTGTCGTTGCGTTCCTAAATATGTGTGCGTGAACCTGTGTTTGTTCTTGCATGAATTGTTTCCTAAAACTGATTGGAGATACAAGTGGAGGTTTGACAAGCGACCTCAAACAGGCCTCCATGAATGGTGCTGAATATATATATATATACATATGTGCATATGTATATTGGGGGAACCATCAAACATGGTCCTGTAATGCCTTGTGTCAATCTTGATGACTTAAGATCCAATATCGAGAGAGGCCCCCAGCATCCCTGGTGGCTCACCCCATCGTCAGTAGCTTAGTTCCCCCCAGTTATAGCAATCCCAAAACTGACGCAATGCAAAGACCTGGAAACATGTTCAATAAATATCATCGAAGTACTTGGTGCCCCCTCAGTTAGTAAGTGGATTATATATAACCCCAGTCTTCCCAGTAAGTGGATTATAACACCCCAGTAAAATATTATAACATATTATAACATTATAACCCCAGTAAGTGGATTAGTAAGTGGATTATTATAACATATTATAACCCCAGTAAAATGACCAGGAGAAGTAGGCTGAACCACTCGCCACCGACGATGGGATGAACCACTTTTGAAGGCTGCGAATCATTTGAGTTCCCTCCGTCGAAGCTTAGAGGCGGAATGAAAGATGGCCCGGACTGAGGAAAGTTGGGATGTTTATGGATGTATAATGACTAGAATGGATAAATATGGATAATGGATTGGGATATATATATATGTGTGTCACCAACTTGATCTGAGGATAGTTTGGTACCTGAAAATTGATGAAAATTGACGATTTACCACCAAGATATGACTATTTAAAACACGGTGTTGTTTTTTACAATCAAATGTGGGGGTACCATGGGGTACCGAATCTTCGGACAAGTCCAGATGAGGATTTTACCATGGTGCGGCCAGCATCGGGATGTAACCATTTCAAATGGGAACTGGAGCGCATATTTCATTACAAGGAACGAATTATCAAATAAATATTAAGGTTTTGCAGCCGATAAGGGGCGTTTGTTTTATTTGGTTCTAGGGTCCTTGGTGATTTAGTTCTACCTCTGATTGTGAGATAACAGATATGTTCCAACATTTATTTCTTTATCTATCTTATTTATCAAGGTAGGTGGCCTTGGTATATACTACTGAAATTTATCCCAAAGGAAAAATCGTATTGGCTTAGTGTCCCTTGGATGTTTCAATGTTAATATCAATTCTTATCCGTCATTCGGTAGTCATGCCAAGAAGGGGATTGATAATTAGCCTCTCCATCCATTTACCCTTCTAATCGTGGAAGTACCAGCCAGAACAAACGATCACCATTCGATCGTAGTTCACATATTTTTTTTGGTTGAGTACTTAGAAAAAAATAATAATAAAATATTGTTATGCGACGGATTTGCGGGGGCGATGGATTTGGGGTCCCCCGAGCCAAAAGATCGGCATTTGTTTTTGCCTAAATCTCAAATGAAGGACCCCGAATCCATTGCGGGAAAAATCATGGTAGAATATAATAGTAAGGCTGTTTCCTATGTCCACATGTAAATTTCTGCACCCTGATATCGGCAAAAAAATATGTTTTTTCCTAAATCCCAGGGTGCAACCTCCGTATTGCCCAAGTCAAGGTGCAGAAACCTGCACCTTGACTTAGGCAATACCCCACCAAGCACCTAGGATATCGGCATTTTTTTTTGCCTAAGTCAAGGTGCAGATTTCTGCACCCTGAGTTCGGCAAAATTATAATTAGACATTGCATTTACTGTAAAGGATATAGATATAGACGTAGAAAAATGGGGAAATTTAGTACTTGAAAAAAAGTGATCATCAGGGATAGTATTGGTGTTTTTATACCAAAGATATATGGGGGCACCACCCTAGAAGAAACATGAGCGTGGTTGATACAAGTACCTATATTCCATTTTAATCCAGCAATTGGTCGGGTACCCATCCAGGGAAATGGTAATGGACCCCGGAAAATCCAAAGAATATGATAGAAAAATCATCGTAATCGATACTGGGATGATACCAATTTAATCAACAAATTGGTTGCCTAAAATGAAAATAATAATGCACATATGATTATTCATGAACATGGTAGAAAACAAGTAGATACATTAAATAATCAATGGTAAGATGATACCCATTTAATCAATCAGTCTGTTACCTCAGGGAAATAATAAGCTACCTATAATGCAATTCAATTCCACTATATATAATTTTTTGGAAAGACCCAAGAATCCATTTCCAGAGACCCCAGATCAATTACAAAACATTTATTCTAAACATATTACGAGAGGAGGACATTTTTCATGGCCACCATCCTGGGACCATTCCTTGTGCGACAACACCAGCACCATTGACCCTCTTACGATTTGAAAGGCAGATACGATGGCCCATAGCCCCTTACCATCTGTGGGAATTTTGATGTTGTGATTGCGACGCTACCAGTTGGGTGGTTAGGACGGTTAGGAATTGAGGTTTCTTCAAAGATGGGAAAGATAGCCCCAAGATGCCCCAAGTCAGCAATGTCCAAGGGAAATGCCAGTGGATTTAGGGATGCACTATTTTCAGACAAACCCGGGTGCAACTTGCTTGGCTTGGTTCTTCTGGCTGGCTTGTTATTTCCAAGCGCTGCTTCCATTTGCAAATGGGCTTGTCACCCCAGGAAAGGAACAGTATTTTGCCCAGGTGATGGTAGTGATTGACCCTGAAAACGAACAAAAAGAATCAAAAAGATATGGAGAACCCACGGTTTCCCAAGGATACAGATGTGCATTTCTGGTAAAGTTCTTCAGTTCTTCCATATCTGTAGTTGGAAGGTATCAGCCCATTTAGTTGCTGTACGTAAGAAGATCCTGATGTTATTTCCGAATAGTTACAGAAAAATTTCGAATCTTGGCAAACCATTCTAACCTCTGGAATTGGACTTTGGGGATGCCCAGTGACCCCCATGAACTCTCAATAAAGATAACAAAGCCCCATAAGAAAAAGGGAATCCCATCCCAAGAAAATGCACTGGAGGTGCGAGGCCTCAATGCCGAAGCCGAAAATCTCTGAAAATCGGCGGGCTACGAAATCCAACATCATGGACAGCTCGTGACTGTGAACGGGCCAGCGTACGCAGCGTACCCGGTTTTGCAAGGACGAGCTCAACACATTTTCCCATGCAGGATGTGGGGGGAAGACTTCAATGGTTGCAAGGGTGTCCTGCACCAATCGAATTGTATCTAACTGTACCTGATTGGTGGTTTGGAACATGAATTTTATGACTTTCCATATATTGGGAATAATAATCCCAACTGACTTTCATATTTTTCAGAAGGGTAGGTATACCACCAACCAGGAAACATAATATTGTACCAATCCCATATTTTACCCATGCGAAGAATAGACTCCATGGGCAGACCCATCCTTCGGAGGCAGATGACGTGGCCGGAGTGTTGCAAGCCATTGAGGCGAAATCCCGGTGGCCGCCGGTGGCTGTGGGGAATTCACCTGGCATTTTCTAGCAAGCCATGTTTCATTACCGGAGGCGAATGTATACCCTCTGGTAAACTAACAGTTTGCTATTGAAAATGGTCATTTATAGTTGATTTACCCATTGAAAATGGTGATTTTCCATAGCTATGTTAGTTTACCAGAGGGTAATGATTATATTGGATCATATTGGATTGTAATGGATTACAATGGGATACGTTTCACCAACTTGATAGGAAGTATCAGTGTATTGTGTAAAATCCAATTGTTACCACCCATATCACATGTTGATGCATCGGCTACACTGCTTTGATGGCCCCAGCAGTTCAAGGCTCCATGTTCGCCCTCGAGCACCGCTTACGGAAGAGGAGTTGCGGAAAAAAACGTGAAGCCTTCATAGCGAGGCGCCAAAAACGTCGAGAACGACTGGAAAACGAAGAAAGCTCTTCCAGCTCTTCTTCGATTCCACCGAAGTAGATGCTTCTGACAGCAACGATTCGTTCAGCCTGTTGAGCCTGGGAAGAATGGATCCCAGAGTCATGATACATGAACATGTGGATTCTTACAAAACATGGAAGGCGATAGGCCCCCAAAAAAAGTGATAACCTATATCTTTTGGTATCAACAATTGATTTTGACGGTGGCTCATATGATATTTGGGTGTGGTACCTGAAAATGGGGATTACCACCAGTTGTGGCCATCAAATCATTCGGAAAGTGATGAACCACAATCTTCTGGGGCACCCTATATGGCACCCCACGTTCAAACAAACCCAAGCATGTATACAATGTATACCAACCAAAAACAACCTTCTATGTGATTTTAGTTGGTCTCACAAATCTGGAGTTGGTATATTTGGGGATATGTTGAGTAAATTTTAAAACAAGCACAGCTTCTGTGTGATTTTTCACTGGGATTCTCCTGGAGTATGTCAAGCAAAATTGTGATTTAACAGCAAGAGTTGAAATTCACCAGCCCAAAGCACAACTAAAAGGGCATGGGGGTTCAAAGAACACATATTTAAGGCATCACAAATTTCATATCAGTATGCATATTTAAAACATCAAAGAAAGCGAAGGCATCAAAAAATAACAGAAAATTGTATTTAAGATATTAGTCTCAAAGCATCATATGTCTTGCGCTCGTGCAGTGTTCTGGACCTTCTCTAATCGGTCCTTTGGTCCCTTAGTAAACTCTAAACCATCCCCAAATAAACATCAGACCCATTCTTAATGAGCCATAAACCAAACTAAAAAAACTAAACCAACCCTAAATAGATCCTAAACAAACCCTAAAGAAGCCTGAACCATTAAACAAACCCTAAAGCAATCATGGAAAATGAGAGGTTCGAACTCCAAAAGGCTGCAAATTCCCGTCAACATGGCAGCTTTGAACTCCAAACATGTTAGGTTTCAACTCCAAATTAGTGCCAAAAAACATAGAACATGAATGACTATGACAGGTTCCGGGGAATATGTTTTATGCATTGAATATTTATTTTTTGATGCCCTCGAATTTTTGTTTTTGATTCATCACCCCCAAGAATTTGTGTGTGTGTGTGTTTAATAATCACATTTGGTGTAGTTTTCTGGGATTATAGAATATTATAGATTCATATGGATTGTCTAGGGGTAAAAGTGTTGGCCATGTTTCTAGACGAATGTGAAATTGTTTTATTTGTTTCTTTGGTTCATTTTGAACGAATGGTCACCTGGTGGCTTTCCTTGCTTGTTTGCCATCTTAAACGAAATGACGACTGTGGTTGGCTGTGAGCCGTGGTTCATAGACGAATCTGTGTATTGATTTTACTGTTTGTTGAGCCACCTGGGGATAGACAACCAGGATAGTTTTTGTGATAATCCCATCACCCTAATATTGAACACCCCAATTTATTGTCTCAATTATGAGGAAATTCCCTACGGTTTCTAAGGATGGGGAAGGGATTAATTGGAATTTATATGAATTTATGGCATAAACGGGTTTTCATGTTTTTTTTCTGAGTTCAAAGAGGAGCACCATGTCCATTTGCCAGAAGTACTGTCCCCGAAACGGAAAAGATGTGCCCTTTGGAAAAGCATAGACATGTTCTTGATAGGGTGTATCCTTTACATCCTTTACAAAAGAGGAGGGTTTCTAGCGCATCGCGTTTTTCGTCCCAATAAGTGGTGTATTGGTATGTCACAAATTAGGCACCCCACAACCCTATGGTTTGCCAATGTTTGCCATGTGTTCACTCCCAGAATCAGGCAAAAGTACCCCCCAACTTTTCATGAAAACGTCCTTCTGAATGTTCATGAAACCCCCTATTGATCCCTGTTGCTTTTCGCTTCAACATGCTTCCTCAGAAACTCTAGTTCCTCCTCTTTAATCCAATTTATCTATATTTATCTCATGAAACCATGGCTTTTCATATTGCTTTCATCAGTTTTCATGACTTGGATCATCCATTCACCGGTGACCACCGGAGACAACCGCCAGGAAAGCGAGGCGCAGCCCAGCACCTGCATCCAAGCCCTGCGGGTCAGCGCCGAACATGCGGCCCTAGAGGCGGGAAACCACCGAAAACTTAGCCAATGGCGCTTGGTAAATGGATGTAAATGGTATATGATTAAGCTTGGTAAATGATGGTAAATGTTATATATATATATTATATAATATATATATATGAACTTTAATTGTTCAGATCATATGCTTAAAATTGGTGTCCAAATGGTGATCGCAAAAAATCACTTGAATTCCAGATAATTCCAGGATCTGCGATTATTTCCCCAATAGTTGGGTGATGTTTGTTGTTTTTTTCCGTACATTTACTCTTTTTCAATGGCGAAAAAACCAATGTACAGAAGAAAAATGCTAGGAGAATGAATCCCAATTCCCAATGAATCCCAATGTCGTTGGTTTTCGGTCGTTCCCGAACATTCGATGTGGTTTTGCCCACGGTTGTGTCCATAAAATTGCTGGTTTTTTCACGAGAAAAATTCAGGGAGATTTGTCATCAGACTGAACATCTGGATCACGGCAACCCATAGATTTACCCGTGGCTTTGGATGAGGGGTCAAAATTGGATACCCCTAACATCCCCTAACATTGGTCAAGACTGAAAATTGCCCATCTTTTTGCAGTCTGGGTCTCGAATTTGCAGCTTCTGGTATTCTTCAGTACTCGTATTTCGAAAGTATCATCATGGAAACATGATCTCTAAATGTGTATATATATAATATATACACACATATGGCAGGGTATTTGTTAAAAAAAGAACGGTCATGATGGGGAATCCATCCATTCTTGTCTGTCGCTTCACCATCCCGCAGGGATTTTGAGGGTGAACTTTCCAGCCATTGATGTCTCAACGGAATCGAGGTTTTTTTTTACCTATTTCGATGGGATTTTATGGTGGTTTAGTGGTTGTTTATGGGATTTTATGGTGATTTAATATGATTTAATGGGATTTAGCCTCTGGTAAACTAACGGTTTGCGAACTGGAAAATCACCATCTTTAATAGGTAAACCAACTATAAATGGGGCCATGTTCAATAGCTATGTTAAATTACGAGAGGGTAATTGCCGTAAGATAATGCGGAAAAAGAGGCCATTATAAATCGTTCATTTCTGGAAAACAGAATGCCGCCATCAGCCACCTACCATAAACCATCGTACATACATATCATATAGATGACTTACAAAGAAGCACCATCTACAAAAAACTGGTACTGTCCATCTACAAAAAACGGCGAGTGTTAAAAAAACAAATAAGAATTGATATGTGCCATGGGAGTGTCGATTCCGATTCCCCACCGGAATCGGAGGACCATCCCTTCAGGGTGGGGGCCCAACTTTAGCTATAGTTCTGTGGTGTGTTTTTCCAAAGCATCGAATTCACCAACCAAGTTATACAATGTTCTACAATGTTATACATACTAGTCCGTGAAACATCGTCCACAAAGGCCATGGGTTTTCCCCAAAATTCGGATGACATCTTCAACCAAGTCGAAGTCGAACTGGCGGAGCCAGGTTTCCCGCCTGAAAAAGTGCCACAACTCATGGCGAAGTGTCACAGAGGCGAGCATGGAGCGAGCATGGACCAATGGCGGGAAATTTCGGGGAGGCTGATGATCGTAATCCCATAATATGGAGAATGATATGAATAGTAATCTGACCTGATATCATTCATAGATTCTATCTATTCGATTCATTCTATTCTATCTATTACACAGCCAGGATGGATAGGACAGAAATAGACATAGAACTAGAAATAGAAATACAATAGGACAGAATAAATACACTGTAGATAGTATTAATGTACCTATATATATATATATCATGTACAGATGTTTCGCAAGTCGCAAGTATTAATGGATGTCCTGGGTTAACTTCTTCCAACTGCTATAGTGATGTACTCCAGATCGCAACCTCACTGGCCGATGTTTAAGGCTACAAAAGCCTAGCCAAAAGACATTACCAAAAATTGAACAAAATCTGACGAAAAGATGTGACATACTAAAGATGGTCATTATGTTTTTGCGTTGTGGTTTGATCTTCAAAATATGCCCCCAGAAAAAAGGGGCGCTTCACAAAAAATAATGGGTCCCCAAACCATAGCTTTCCGAATGAAACATGAATGATGTTGGGGTACCCCATTTCAAGAAAATATCCATATTCCATTGATATTCTCATGTTATTCCAATATGTTTTCCATTCGTTGTTGAACCCTGCCAAGATCCCATTAAAAAAAGATCCATTCGGCATTTCCTACTTTGGGATAGTTCCTAATTCTATTTACTGATGATATCACAATTTGGCAAAACATGAATTATATCTACTATAAATGGTGAGTTCCTCATGTTTGCCGCTTAGATAGCCATTTATAGTAGTCATTATACCATTATCATTAATTATGGTTATTATTATGGTTATGAGTATGATTATTATTATGGTTATTATTATGGTTATGGTTATTTTGGTTATGACTTTTATTTTCTTATCATTAATATTAACTAATCATTAAAGGCCATTTGATTAACCTATAATAGTTACCATAATGGGAATATGAACGGCAATAATCATAATATAGTGGGTTAATCATTCATATGACTGGTTATTATGGCCATTAATATTCCCATTTACTATTATTACTATGTTGAATTTTACTGGAACCATTAATATTCCCATTGGTCGTAGCCATTGATCTTCACGCCAAGCTCCGAAGCTCTCGCGGAGGCACGAATCCATCGTTTGGAACATGCCAAAGATGAGGCGGAAAAAGCGACGTCCGGGCCCCGACGATGCCAAGGATGGACATATACGATATACGTAGGAATATATATAGGAATATAATAGGAATATAATAGGAATATAATCAATGGATATATCTGTATATATGGATATATAGGAATATAATCTCTTTGGGATATAATCAGTGAATCTATTATATAGGAATATATTGGACATATATGTATGGATATATATATATATAACATAGGAAAACATGGAATATCATTGTAATATGGGTTGCGCTCTGGTGGTTTTGCGAATTTGAAAATGGCCTATAGAAATAGATTATAAACATGATGATTTACCTATTCAAAATGGTGGTGTTCCACAACTATGTTCAATAACCAGAGGATAACCTGGAAGTTACTGGAGAGATTTCGTATTGACCTCACCAACGGTGAAAGATCCAGAGACCCATCTTCCGAGACACATTTTGTCTTGGCGTTCCACGTGAAATCACAGAAGGGCAACCACACCTTTTTTCTGGGTAAGCTAACCCTACTTAACCCTGCTGGAACTCGTTAGAACGTGTTAAAGTTAAAGCTGTATTTCTCTCGTAAAACAGTGCGTTTTTTCGGAGCAGGATCCATCAAACGGGTCATGAGACTCGCCAAGGCAAGACTATTTAGCCATCGAAGCAAAGCTGAACAGTGGCTGTGCCCAGCGGTGCGGGGCGTGTACCCAACTGGCACCAAGTTTTCGATTATGAAGATGTGGGTTTGTCCAAACATGGTGGATATATGTATATATATATATATAATCCCCGTGTGAAATTCTCTAGTAAATGCTATGACCTGGGTCCCGGAAAGTGAACCAAAAATTTCACAGGAGGATTATATATGGTTACACAGCCTTCACCTTAAATTCACAGGAGGATTATATATATATATATATATACTGCATATACATACCTAAAATTGTAATTGTAATCGGGAAAATGATGATCAACTATCCACTTCGGGGACCAGCGAAGAACCCATGTAGCACAAAATCGTGGTCGCAGCTTCATTTCACACCCCACATGCTGCTGCCCTCCCGCCCGCTCGGAACCGAAGGTCAGTTAGATGGCTGTTTAGGTGGTCAACACAGAGGTAGATCGACTGACTCGGCCGCAGCCATTTAGGAATAGTAAAACTTGCGGTACCATAGATTTTAGTAGCTACTTTGATCTTCAGGGTACTAGGTTTTTGATCCATAGACATTGATTTTTCTTCATGCTCACGTGTATCGTTGAAAGAAGTCATGTCAAGTAATTAGAGTGGGTGGTTTGAACCCACCCAACAATCTGGGTTTGATCCACAAACCATCAAGATCCAGCCCCGATCAGGTTTGATCCGTGATGATCAAAAACAGCGTTCAGCCATATATATATATATTATGTATACACGACTCTTCCAAGTAGATGTTATACATACATATATGCATATATAATCCTATATATATATAGATATGTGTGTGTGCGTATGATATATGATTATACAATGTATTTTTCCAATATATTAGTACAATACATAAATACATTTGTAACATTTGTACACGCACACATATATATATATAGAGCTAGCTGGGCTCCATAGATACACATGTTTCATATACGCACAACTATCTATCTATTATATACATATATATGTATGTATATATATATATGTAAATATCTCTGGCCACCATTTGGCCCATCGCTTCAGGTTTCAGAGGAATTGTCAGCGAGAAGAGCCGTGCATGTTTGATGGGCGTCGTCTTGGGATCCAGCAAGGCCGATTAGCCGCCGATGGCCATCGTGGTGAAAGAATGGGATCCTAAGAATATCGAGGCTGTGGTGGGATCCAAGCATTGAATCCAAGTGTTTAGATAAATAGTTTTAAGATCTTTTTAAGAATGTTCATAAATATTGAATAATATGATCCTGTTGGAGAAGGATATCTACTAACAAATATGGGCGTGTGAATACGTTGCGGCAATCTACCTTGGCACGATGGAAGATCACCTATGACCATTTCCACTGACGGATGATCTTGCTTCTTTTTTCAAGATAGCATCCCACCGGATCATAGCCGATACATGCATATGTACTGTATATGCAAGACATATATACTGAATGATATATATATCATATATAATCATATATATATACATATTATATCTTTCCACCGCCATGGAGTCGCAGGGCATGATTGCCACGTGCTACGCCGCCTGGCGTGGAGCCACCGAGGAGGGGAAGGTGCGGCCGGCCGTGCGGCCGTGCGGGGCGTTGGGGGAGATCATCATGGTATACTGGCCATTATATATGGATATAACATGATATAATATTATAATGGCTATATATTTCCCATTATATCTAGTTTTTTTTCTGGCCATTACATTAATGCCAACCTCGGATTAATGCCAACCATGGTTTATTCAGGGGGGTATTCCCCCAATAGTCATGATTTGATACTTTTTTATGGTACTTTCCCAATGAAACAGCTGCTTGGGGTTTATTAATCCAGGGTTGACATTAAGCACTAAACTTACGGTGAAGATCACCTTGGGAGTTACCATGATTATACATGATTATACCCACATATTATACGAAGTATAGTGGTTATATAACTATTGGTTGCATGTTTATAATACAACTTTGAACTATTGTATTTATAAAGACTTGCAAGGGGACCTGCACCTCCAAGCCTCCAAGAACCCATCAAACTGGCCTATCCAGGAAAAGATCGGGATACATGGCTCCGTGTTTCTCCAAAAATAAACCATTTTATGGATAGAAATCTCATATAGAAACCATATGAAACCATCATAAAATGGAAATATCATCAGATTTCCATTTTATGATGGTTTCACATGGTTTCTATAATCCATCCTTTATGATGTTCCGAAACATACCCTTTCCATTTACATACCATCTTATGGAAATTATAGAAACCATCATAAAATGGGGATCTCATCATATTGTTCTATTGAACATATTGAACCATGCGTGTCCAAACCTGCGGGGATACCAGTAGCAAAACTCCCATATGTCCCCAGAGATTTTGATGATCAACCATGACATTTTGTCATATCCTATGATCAGACAAGGCTATCACATACTACCATCGGTTACTTTCGGCGAAAATCATGGACCATAGACTTTACCCAAGGTGAACTTTGCTCAGCTAAGTTATGTAATGTGGGTATAAGTTGAACCCACCTTTTATATGTTGCTGTGGGTATAAGTTGAAGCCACCTTGTTACACCTCTTAAACGATGTACCCACCTTGTATGTTGTTGTGACTTCTTAAAACCCTTTCAACGGATGGTCCCAGCCGATCATACGGCCAAAGATAGCGACTTTATAGCGACCTCGAGGTCCTAAATGATGCATTGGGTTTGGTGACTCACAAACATTGGGTTGATGTATGATTTGGAAATGACTCTGGCATGTTGATTTTTCACAAAGGTCCACACAGGTCCACAAAGGTCCATATATATATATATACGTATGTATATGTATCCAGAATTGCCCACACATAATCTCCAAAAAAAAATAAGCCACACTTGTCAACAAAACTACCAGATGAGCAGTGTTCAAAAAACCATCATCCCCAAGATATTAGGTAGTACAATCCCCTATAATCATCAACCAACCGTATATCATGTAACAACTATATGCCCATCTTCTGATGGTTAAAACATCATTTTTTCAAAATAAAGAAGTACATACAGAATAAACATATGAGCAACCTTCAAAATTTGCGGAAGACTAAAGTAGTGGGGAGTGGACATGGGATGTTCAAATTTGTGCGAAAACATTCACAACCGATAGGCGACCACCCACTTACCGATACCCTATTCTTGCACATAGCATGGAAGTACAAACCTTCACAACCGATAGAGGACCACCCACTTTGGCCATGTCCATTGCTGGTAGTAAGTAATTTTGTCCGCCACTCATATAAAACCCGTAAACCCCGGCCTAATACCCCCCCAAAAAAAAACATAAAACCTGGAGAAAAAAAACACATTAAAAAAGAACACATACAAGGTGGTGCCCCCCCAGTTATAAATGGGTTATAAGCCCATTAACTATAGATAAATCACACCATAGACATTGGACTTATAAACCTCTATCATGTCTATCATAGAACCTCTATCCTTTCATGGTTAAACCACCATTAAACCACTATTTTTCATGGTTAAACCACCATTGATTGCCATTTTTCTCCCATCACCGGCGCACCGCGCGAGGTGCACCGCAAGCTGCGGGAGACCTACGAGGCGACCGCCGACCATTGTTGCCAACCATCAAGATGTGCTGATTTTGGAATGGTTAATAATGGTTAATAGTGGTTAATAGTGGGATTAATAGTGGTTAATAATGGTTAATTAATAGTGGTTTATAGGTTATAAACCAACAACAATGGGAATATGATGGTTATATACTGGTTGGTGATTTGGAACATTTTGAAATTGTTTTCCATATATTGGGAAGAATCATCCCAACTGACGCAAAAGTTCACCATATCCTTTTTTGTTTGGAATTCATCATTGCTAATGGGGTTATACTAAGCAGTTTCTTTAGGGGTGGATTGGCAATGAAAGTAGCGAACTTGAAAAATGTTTGGATGATCATCCCCAAACGAATCCAAAAGTGTCACGTTGGGGAGTAGTTGAGCTGGAAATGACTCCAGGATAAGTTGGGTTTGCTGAGTACTCCAGGTTATCTAGCATTTGATTGCGTATATACTGTAACAAATATATATATATATATATATCCATTTATTTTTTACATCCATATGCACAAGCTGTATACGTATGGTGCTCGAGGGTCATATAATCTGAGGAATCCATCGCTCATGGGACGACCACATGTGATCTGCCCTAGCGGGAAGTTTCCACAGCTGAGATGAAAACGGGGTCCCATTTGTCATCAGTGCGTGTGTCGGAGAAGCCATGAGAAGCCCAAAATGTGCATTTGCATCACGTTTTAAGTGTCATTTAATCGGGATTGAACATGCAAATATACTATAGCTAGAAATTGGATTTCTAGTTGGGTTAGAACGGTTACAATACAGGATGATTCGATATTATCTGAACATATTTGATATGGCTCAGATAAGGCCTGTCATTGCCCCTGATTTGCTTCGAAAGCTTCCCGTAAAATGGCGATTGTTCACGGAGCTTCGGCAGGTGTTTGAGAGAATGGAAAGCATGATTTACCTTCTGGTAAATTAACATAGACCCTGAAAATAAGCCATTTTTAGTGGAAACCAGTCTTCCAACCCCTATCTGCCAGGGTCTATGTTAATTTACCGGAGGGTAATACACTTGTATTATCAATAGAAATTGTTTTTCACTGTGTATAAACTAACATATAGATTGGTAATGGTTGATATGGTTGTCACTGTCAACACAAAAAAGAACTTTCACTATCAAGAAGAAACACATCAATGTGTATAACAGGTTTCTAAAGACAGACAGATAGATAGATAATAGATTAGATTTGATAGACTAGATAGACTAGATAGATTAGATAGACTAGATACATTAGATAGACTAGATAGATTTGATAGACTAGATAGATTTGATAGACTAGATAGATTAGATAGACTAGATAGATTAGATAGATTAGATAGAGTAGATAGATTAGGTAGATTAGATCGATTCGGTCGATTAGATTAGATTAGGTTAGGTTAGATTAGATTAGATTAGACTAGATAGACAGACAGACAGATAGAGAGAGAGAGAGAGCGATAGATAGATAGATGGATGGATGGATGGATAGATAGATAGATGGATAGATAGATAGATAGATAGAGTGATAGAGTGATAGAGTGATAGAGTGACAGAGGTAGAGGTAGAGGTATATATATATTTAGATATAGGTAGATGGATAGATGGATAGAGGGATAGATGGATAGATGGATGGATGGATGGATGGATGCATGGATGGATAGATAGATATGGGTTTGTGCCTGCGATTGATGCAGACATACTATGCACTCATTCTGGTACCAGTGACTCAGGCGTTTCACTTCCACGGTGACCACGGTCCGCTGGGAAGGCACAAATCGAAGACATGCAACGACAGATCCTGCAGTACCAGGCCACTGGACAGGAAACTCTCCGCTCGGTTTTCCAGGTGGGTTGTAGTTCAACGGTTGATTTTTGTTTGATCCCCTTTAACTTAGCTTATTACAGGATGGTGCCCCCCCAGGTATAAGTTGATCGAAAAAAAATCCCTTTAATTATAGTTGTATTCTCCATTAACCCAAACGTTATTGGACTTATTTGCAACAAGATAGCTATCGTTGGGGGGGGGCCATCCCGCAGTTCAACCATTCACTGTCAACCATCTACAGTTTTTTTTGAATATAAATCCATCCACATTGGGGGTTAGTCTTCAAAAATTGGCAACAAACGACCAAAAGCATGCCAGGGGCTATGGCTATGGTTATTCTGTGATTATTGACTGTTTTTGGATGTTATTGGTAAATGTGGAGATTTCCTAAAATGGTGGTACCCCAAAATCATGGCTATCAATACAAAAATTGTCGATTTTTTGGATGATTTTGGGTACCCCTGTTTTAGGAAACCACCGAGGGTAGTCCCATCCCCATCCTCGAGTCACCCACTGCCAGAGTTCACCGGAGGCAGAGCGTTTGCGCAATGTGCGCAATGCCATGGCTAGGCGGCTTCAACTGGGGACACTTCATTTGTGTATAGAAATCATGGTTAGTGAAAAACTATGGTTTATCATGATGTGTACATTAATAACTAACTAACCATTAACAATCATTAATCATAGTTATAACCATTTTAGTAATGATGATTGATATATTTACGAATTATTGTGATATATCAATATAGAAAAATGTTGCTAAAATATGCTAAAATTATCGTTACTATAGCAATCCCAATGGTATACAAAAGGTTACAAAATGGATCAAAATGCAGATTTGGCCATTTTGCCAAACTGGTCATCATTATTGTTGGTACATATGGATACTACGTGTGACGAGGCGTCATCACTACTGTCTAATCAATTCTAATTGTCATGCACCCTCCAGTGAACCAACGGTTCGCTATGGTCTGTTCACTTTGATGGTTTACCGTTTTTAACAATGGAGATTTTCCATAGCAATGTTACTTGACCAGAGGGTAGTTCGTCACAATTATGCAAAAATGATGGCCTTATTTCAGGCTGGCGAATTCTTATCATTTACCCAGATATGGGTGGTTAACCCGCCATAAAATATGGTGGTTTAAGCATCAATACCATGGGATTTGAGTCGAGAATTATGATCAGGATTGCTCCAAGCTGTTGTAAATAATTGATTGCCTCAAGGGTTTGAATTTGGTGATGTTTTTCCTCTTGATATATCATGATATATCTAACTTTAGTAGCCAATTGACCACTCTGATGCTCATCAGGGGTACAGGGTCTTGACCCATACCCATATTATCACTGGATCATGGTGATTGACTGAAAATTACGACATATAGTGAGTATGTATATCTAACTAACCATTGTAGCCTTGATTATTGGCGAGTGTATGTATTTACTGTAGTTGTTTATTCAAATTTTAGGGGCAACGGTGTAAAAAGTAAAGCAAACGATTCTAGTTGGCGGTCTCATCTTCCTGACATCTAAAATTGGATGGTCCAATTGCAATGGGTCAAAACCTATATGGGGGTTCCATAAATGGGGGTACCCAAAATGGATGGTTTATAATGGAAAATCCTATTAGAACTGATGATTTAGGGCCTTTAGGCCTTTAGGGGATCATGTTTTATCCCAACTTATGGATATTTATGGGAGTTATCACTATGGGTACTAGGAATCACCTCAGCTGCACTAAGTTAAGTTGGGTACACAACGATGACTCGGTGATGACTCGGCAGGACTTGTGTGGAAAATGGTGAGCAGTTGCTTCGAACGTGCGGAGACTGAGTGGTGAATTTTCATGCCCGCAATTTAGACACGGCTGGGAAATCCATGGAAATCCCCTAGGCATGGCATTTTGATGGGAATTGCTTCGGAATTTGAATCAGTAAATTAGTGGAATGTTCGATGATTATATTTTACACCATGGATGACACCCGCAGTTGTCTGCGCAAATCTTCGATGAATTGATATCAATAGTGGGTAAAATCGTATGAACTTCCAGTCTAAATTGATCTGAGCAAACTTTCTGCCAGGTTGGAACGGAAAACCAATGGGGTTTTCATGGCCAACCTCTTCCCGAGGCTCTTCCAATGCTGGATCACTGATACCCAGCAGAGCAAGCGCCGTGGTCAGGGCGAGCGGGAACTAGACAAGGCGAGTTGACGACGCCTGGATTGTTCCCCTTTACGTCCAGGTTGGTGATCAAACATGGCAGGAAATACATGTGAATGTTAAACATGGTTAAACTATGGTGCTTTTCATGGGCTTCGTTTCCACGTTTGCCAGAGGTTATTTTGCATAGCACCATGCAGCTGAGCAATATATTATGAGTCGACGGGATGAACGTCTGGAGTCGACTTAGCTGACTGGCATTGAAAAATAATTATTGACCTACCATGGAAAACCGACCGTTTGAGTTCTTCGAGAATTCGGTGTTTGAAAGACTAGTTATTTGCAGTTTGCAAGAGTTCACCAGAGGGTATTAACCAACATCCCATCAATATCCCATGCATATCATCATGCATATCCCATGCATATCCCATGCCCAGGGGCGAATCCTACGATTGCCCTCAGGCGCAGGCACACTTCTTCTACATCAAGGCGAGTCGCATCGCCAGCAGCCGGAAGGCCTGTGACATGTGAGACGAGTTGCAGCATCTTACAGCTGACATGAATGTTCAGTAAAGCCATGAATGCAGCCATGAATAAACAATCCCAAGAATCACCACAAATGGGTGGTATGAACTTTTATAAACAACTTTTTTTCTTGGATTTTCTGAAGGCAATTCGACGGAGGCTTAAACGGTGTCCGAGTCATGGGGCGTACCGCAAATCATCCAGTCGTCATGGATGAGCATTTTTGATGTATTTTTGTATTGAAAGCCACAGTGACTTGGGCCCCCCATGACTTAAGAACCCCCCATAAGTCATGTGGAGAAGCCATTATGAAAGAGGATCGTTTCCCTAGGTTTTCCCAATGGGTTTTTTCCACAGCTACGTTAGTCGAAAATTTTCCACAAGCTATCAGCAATTAATTGTACATGAGCCTTATATAAACTGACAAATACATATGTATATATAATTATACGTAGTTATATATAGATTATATATATATTGTAAATGAGCCTTATTGTAAGTGAAACCAGTATGGTACTTCGTGATGTTTCCCTTTTTTTCCTGCTTTCCAACTTTTTGGCATTGACCTTTGGGGGTTGCTTTGGATATCTTTGTAGTATTAACGGTGGTCCCATTGCCAAGAGGGCTAACACTCCAGTGCTGTGTTTCATTCGATGACGAATGAGTAACTGAAGCTTTGAATTACCCTCTGATAAATTAACATGGCTATTGAAAATGGCCATTTATAGTGGATTTACCCATTTAAAATGGTGATTTTCCATAGCTATGTTAGTTTACCAGAGGGTATATCCCTAGATGTTTCTGGTAACTACTGGGAAGAAAGTTGTTCTATTTTTTTCGAGTGATGTAATGATACCTTTTTTCCCAATCATACCGCGGATAAAAATGGTCGTAGATACCAGATAAACAATATTCCGATTTATTCTCCAAACATGTATATATAGGGTATCTCAAACCGGATATGAGAAGATATGATTTCCAAATATGAAGTTAATAAGATACAACCCACAAGAATCAAGAATGGAAATATATAGTTATACAGTATATACACCTACGCACAAAAACAAGCTATACTACTATACAATTCTTGGCTCAATTATACAAGATATGAGATATTCTTCGAGCGAAGGATGGGACCCATATCCTATGGATGGTCATCCCAAAAAAAAACACGGCGAATGGCATGTGATTGTTCACCATAACTATCAGAAATGGCTCAAGCAAATATAGAAAAATGTGGATATCATTGGGGTATCATGGGGGATAACATGATACTGGCCCATTCTTGAGGGTCCGATAATCCAGGTGGGAAAACCTCCTGCCTTAAAACCAGTCCCTGATTTTGCCAGAAACAGCTGGTAAATTGGTAAATACCCATCCAAACTTGGCAGTTGATTATTGGGTTTACCATACTAGTAAGTTGCTCATACCCTCTGGTAATTCAATGTAATTCATAGCTATGGAAGCCATGGCCCATTCAGTTCGACGATGAATCCCTGTGAAAATGGTGATTTTCCATAGCGAAATGTTGAATTACCAGAGGGTAATCCATATTACCTAGTAACCTAAAACAAATAGATGTTAGTAAATCCTGCTACAGTAGTGATGAACTACTACGTTTCTATCTTTTGGTGGGTAGATATATATATATATAATTTATATACATATACATATATATATATGTGTGTTTGTAATTGGGGCATGATTATGGTTATTGCCCAGTGTGCCCACATGGAACTCAGCAAAGGGGTATACTGCCAGTAGCAGAGCTGTGAAAACCAACAGCAGGAGCTGGTACAACTTATGCATCCAATTGACCTTTGCTTCCACCAACAATGGGTGTAGTAATGAAGAACTGAGGATGTTGGAATATGTCGGCCATGGTCTAGCCACACACATGATAATCAACGATAATCAACGGGAATGGGCTAGAACTATGGAGATATGGCTGACTCTCCAGCCAAGAAGACTGGAGGGATCTCACGCATTCTCGCGCTGTCGCTTGAACATGGGAAAATGTTTGCCAGATTGGGAAAGGCTAACGACATCTAACGATTCTGAAAGATGTTTAACTGCATTACGACTATGATTAATAACGATGGTTCTTTGACCCACCCAATTGGGACAGATTTGGGGTACTCCAATACTCCCCTCACTTTGCACATGCACAGTGCCTAGCTGCTATGATCCCCGCCACGTCCATGGTATGGAGTCAAAGAACGTAGATGAAACTGCCATCGAAATCCAACGCGTTTTTATTTTGTGGTTCACTACATGAACAGAGACTGCCAAAATCCATGTATGTTGTAGGTTCTAGGTTTTTCATGTTTTTGTGGTTTCCAGTTTTCTTTTGGGTTCATGAGACTACGGTGAAGTGAATGTTTGCGGCCTGCCAGATTGTTGCGCAAATGATCTTGGATGCTGAACTAGCTCCTCTAGCTGCCCAGCATATTTCAGTGGTGGATGGGTATCCTTGGAACTCAGCCCCCCAAACGGTGACCCCTTCAATAAGGGATGATTATGGTTGAAGGTTCATGTATTGGCCACCAGGAAGCACTAAGCATTGATGAGCCTCGGGATACGGATGGGGATGAAACCAAACCAGAATTCTGTATCAACCCTCCCCGATGAGATAAAGCCATAAAGCCGGGGGTCATGGTAAATCATCCCATTTCTATGGGTGTTTGTGTCGATTAGACACAAAAATAGACGTGTAAAATGGGTCTGGTTCATTGACTTTCAGAGCTCACCTCAATCAAGAAGCATGGTTCATATCTGCGACTGCAGCAATCTTCCTGCACCAACACCGAAAGATGTTTGAAGAGACTGTAGAATTGAATCCCTTCCCTCTAAGATTACACATACACATTTAGAAACCCTGGTTTGGCATTGGATATTTCAAGGGCCGAAATGGTTTTATTACCAGGGAAGGGACTACGACGCACAGCCGCTAACAGCCCCAGCTGTTGGACCCAAGCTCAAGAGATCAATGGTCACCCATGGGCTTTGTCTGAAAATTCGAAACCCAAAGGTCCAATGGTTATGGTTATAATTTTATATATATTATATATATTATTATTATATTATATATATAATTATATTATTATATTATATTATTATATTATATTATTATATTATATTATTATATTATATATATATTATTATATTATATTATTATATTATATTATTATATTATATATATATTGTTATTATATTGTTATATTATATATATATTATTATATTATATTGTTATATTATATATATATTATTATACTATGATTATACTATTATATTATATATATATTATTATATTATTATATTATTGTATTATTATATTATATTATTATATTATATATATATATATTATTATATTATTATATTATATATATATTATTATTTTATTATATATACATATATATATTATTATATTATTATATTATTTATACATATATATATATATTATTATATTATTATATTATATATTTATTATTATATTATATTATTATATTATATTATTATATTATATATATATATTATTATATTATTATATTATATATTTATATTATTATATTATTATATTATATTATTATATTATATTATTATATTATATTATATTATTATATTATATTATTATATTATATTATTATATTATATTATTGTATTATATTTTATTTTATTATATTATTATATTATTATATTATTGTATTATATTATATATATATACATTATTATATTATTATATTATATATATATTATTATATTATTATATTATTATATTATATATATATTATTATATTATTATATTATATTATTATATTATATTATTATATTATATTATTATATTATATTATTATATTATATTATTATATTATATTATTATATTATATTATTATATTATATATACACAACGTAAAGAATGTCTACATGTCAATCTGTATAAACGTTCAACGCCGTTGCATCGGTGCGAGGTGATGTGTTTCCAAGCCTGGAAGCAGTTTTTAGAGGCGTCAGCTCACCGGTGGGATCGCCAGATGTTCGCTAAGGAGGTTCCAAAGGTTTTCCTTAACTATGATGGTTAGTAGTGGATAGTAATGGATAATGGATAATCATAATGGATAATTAATTATATATTGATAATAATTAATGGATAATAGTAATGGATAATTCATTATATATTGGTTAATTAACCATTAGCCAACCATAATTATGAATGGTCAACCATTATGGGATCCCATATATTGATAACCATGGTTAATAAGTATTGATAATGGTCAATCACCATTTATAATGACATACAAAGATCAACAGGATTTAAGAAGCTTTATATTTGGAAGTCTTCCCTCTCACTATGCTGGCCATACCGCTGTCACGGAAACCTTGTTCTGGTCCTGACTTGAGAACAACAAGCCTACATTCAACAAGGCTCTTCGAAAATGCGACGTGTCACAGCAGTTCTATTGAAATTCATTCAACGTTTCAGTCATTTTTCTCCAGCCTATCCCAGTGACTTCAGGAAAGTGCTTCCG